CTGTCTCTCAAATTAAAATAATCATGATTCCTTTAATATTTTGTGATATTGCTGAAGAGTTTTCCAGGTTACATAGTACTTTGTCTAAGTAAAACAACAGCACTATTAAGCATCTGGACGCTTACGACTCAAATGATAAGATACAAGGCTGATTCCTGACAAGCCTTAAAGGAGCCGCTCCTTAAAAACAGGCCGGTTGAAAATAATCAATTTTGTATGGGTTGCAGCATGCATCGTAACATGCATATTTATCGTGCTGCATGCTTTGTTTGTGTGCAGGTTTGAGAAGATGATCAGTGGGATGTATATGGGTGAGCTGGTCAGACTGATCCTGGTGAAGATGGCTAAAGACGGCCTGCTCTTCCAGGGACACACCACTCCAGATCTGTTCACCACTGGCCACTTCCAGACCTCCTTCGTCTCTGCCATCGAGAATAAAAAGTCAGTACCTTTTTGTGCTTGTGTGTTTCTTGCTATACTAAAAAAAAGTGCGGCAGAAGTAAGCTAAAACTGATAAAGTTAATAAATAAAATGGCTAAATCCTGTTTTTAAAGGGAGAGTTCACTCTAAAATGAAAATTTTTGGATTTGGAGGAATGTAGCATTGCATCACTTGCTCTGCAGTGAATGGGTGCCATCAGAATGAGAGTCCAAACAGCTGATAAAAACATCACAATAATCCACAGCACTCCAGTCCATCAGTTAACATCTGGAGAAGACAAAAGCTGAAACAAATCCAGCATTAAGACGCTTTTAACACGATTGCTTCCAGATGAGTCCATAATATTGCTTTCTCAAGTAAAGAAGTCATCTTATCTGAATCAGGAGAGAAATATGCACGGATCAAACTCCATAAAACCAGTACAAAAGAGTTAAACAAATATGGATTTTGGTGTGAGAGGGCAACAGGGGATGGACCTTTCACTGGAGGGGAATTATGGCAATATTATGGACAATTTTATACAGAAGCAATGGTTTAAAGGTAAAGCATCTTAATGCTGGATTTGTTTCAGCTTTTGTCTTCTCCAGATGTTAACTGATGGACTGGAGTG